ACTTTGGCGAGGCCGATATCAATTTCAGGGCTAGTATATATGTTCGGGTCATTGCAAGTTGAGGGTGAGGGGATATCATATATATACAATCCAAGCAATCGTTCAACAAGTATCTCGTCTACCGAAAAAGAAACTCGAACTTGCTATACTTAGCTGCCCTATTCTCCTCTCTTCACTCGATGACCTATGTTGCTCCTGTTTGTTAGACTAGAGGGAAATATATATGACTAATCGGCTAATTTTGCCATATTGGACAATTCGAGCAAACTTGTGATGAAGGGAATATAAACATCTTCTGCCTCAGCCTAGATATTAGTCTGCTTTTCTCATCATCAATACATTGGTCTATTCAGGCTGCATTCTGTTGGTCCCTATTTCATAGCGTGCAGCTTGTTTAATAGTGTTCTGAATTTACCCTACACACATTATCGTCTTGGACTGCAAGTTACCAGATGCCGACTACTATGCGCAAATTGCCAAATATACTATTATTTCTGGCTCTGTGGCTAGTATTAGTTTGATTATGGTCCTCGCTGAGAATCTAAGCTGATCGTTTCTACTCGCTTGTCAAGGGGACGTTCTGGATGAATAGTGCAATCCAAGGTTTTCACTCCGATATTACACGGTCGCGAACATGACGATTAAAACGAACAGGTTAAATTAGGTCTGAGATATTCGTAGGGCATTTCAATTGCTTTTAGGTTTCTATTGCCGCTGTCTATTCATGCTGCCCAAATGCTTTTTCCTTTCCGCTCGCACGTATAAATAGCCAAGGTATCATGATCCATGCCTTCATACATCATTCCATCTTTTCCCTCATCTCCATTCATATATTGTCTTATTCTCAAATTCTCTCCAAACATAGACCTCAGGTAGCAACGTGCAGATGGCTGCCCAAAAAAAAGAACAAAAAAAGAGAAGTAAAAGTTTCCCCTTTACCAACTCATGACCCCCCTGCCTCTGTCAAAACCTCCTCTCAACTGACTCTCGGGCTTTACTAATTTTCCTCTCAAAACAGTATACTTGACTAAGTTTTCGCAGTCCTCGGGTTTCACACGCGCAAGCCAGATGCATTGGGCGGCACCTACACTGCCCTCCTTCTCTTCCTTTTCCTCCTTCTTCTCACTCTCATGCACCTCCTCCTTCTTCTGTCCGTTGGCTCCATTTGTTGCCGGGGCATTCGTCGTGCCGTCGGCAGTCACTTTCTCTCCCACCACATCATCCAAGCCAAATGCGTTAGGCCGCCGGTAGATGATAACATTAGCAGAGTATTTGTGTCCTCCGACGTGGCTGATGAAGTAGATACCAACACCGCCCGGTCTCTCATCGTCCAAGTCGCGATACAAGCCCAGCGGTCTCAATTGACGCTCGAGCTCCTTCTTTAAAAGAGGCGCACTCTTTCCACATCGCGCATCGCGCGTGGCTTGACTACACATCAATATGACGGCTTTGTGGGGGCAATCGGCAGTCATGAGGGCGGGTACGTTGTCGGGATCGAGAGAAGGCAGGGAGGCCGGGATTGAGAAGGGTTTGAGAGGATCGGTGCTCGTTGGCGACTTGGAAACGATATCGGTGATGAGCTGAGGCACGTTGCGTGGGTGTACATTGTGAACGAGCGTGAAGGCGGGGAGCAAGAGGACTGTGGTGGGCTCGGAGTAGTCGCTGTGATGGCTGGGAGTTGGCATGTTGGACGCTGAGAGTTTCATGTTCTAGTTTGCGCAAGGTCAGCAGCCGTTGATATGATATCTACTCTATGTGATGCTCAAGAGTATGTGAATGGATATCAGCAGAAAGACAAGACCACTTACTCCATTGGCCGGCTTAGCAGCATTATCAACAGCCTCCATGACACTGCCCTTCTCGTCGGCGACATCTCTCACCCAATCGGTCTTGCTGGTGCCTACAAGCAAATGCGTACTCCATGCGTTGACATGGCCATAGAGCACATCTTCTGTGTCGATCTTGAAGTTGCGCGGGTAGTGAATGGTGCAGCTGTCGCAATCGTGCAGGCAGTCTTCTCCGTCCACTGCGGGATCCGTCTTGGGGAACAACTCGGTGACGGAGGGCGGCGCAGGACCTTTGCTTCCGTTTCCGAGGAGGGAACTGGCCAGGTATTTTAAAGACAATGCCATTTTCTGCTTGACGGGCATGTGCTGTGCCGGATGGGCAGTTGTTGAGTTGTGAGGTTGAGAAGGCATGGCGCGAAAAGAGACTAAAGAAGGGGGGGGGAGGGGAGGGGGCAAATTATGCTAGTACTGTAGATACAGCCGATCAGTCTCCATGTTTACGAGTATGAATGTTTTTGTACATTGTAGACTTGACTACTCCGTACATTTGTCTAATAGTGGGCAATTTACATTGATTATTGTGCGGAATCCGAAGAAGGCTCCGAGGCCTGCCCACTAAGCACTGGGGCCGGTGGGATGGGATGGGATAGGACTGAGGACGACCAATGGCCCCCGTTGATTTTTCGAGTCCTTTTTTTTTTTTTTTTTTTTTTTGGTGAGAATGCGGTTGTGACGTGATTATCGCGGAAAGGTTGGTGGTGGTCGGAATGCGGTAAGTGGGGGGAGGGGGAGGGGCGCTTCGTTTGTGGTGTCTGATCTGCTTGGCGAGAGATTGATAACGAATCGGTAGGCTGATTGATTATCTTCGTGTTTGCGGGTTTCTCCTTTGTACCGGAGGTAACGTTAGACGCCAAAAGAGACGAGAAAACGACAGTATCCAAGAGGAGTTTGTCCAAGAGTCAAGAGCCAGGACAAAGTGGAAGGGGATTGATTGACGGGAACCGACCATGGTCGATTGGGCAAATCGTCTACCCTTATGTATCCGGCAATTCATCCCGGTTCGACAATATGCCGACGACAGTCGCCTTGTTACCTCACGATGGGCAAGATTTGGGTTGCTCTGTAGTGTGCAGTGTATGCATCCATCAACACCCCGCGTATCTCCGAGACCGAAAAAGGCGGGACCCTTTGACCCTTGAACCAATTTATTACAGGTCATGCCATAATTAGAGTAGCCCTATCGACGGTACCGTAGTACCTATCATATACAGTACATACTTCCATACATAGTAGCAGTACCAAAACTGTAGCCTGCCACCACCGCCCCCCATGACCGCCTCTATGACCGCCTCCATTGCCCTATCTCCCTTATGTCCTTCTCTAACCTACTAAAGGCATATATCGCATGTGCATACGTAAGTGCGTGCATGGTGCGTACGTGTACTGTACGTGGTGCGTACGCAAGTCCCCCTTTCAAACGCGAAAAATACTCTATAATTACAATACGTACTCCAATCAAAAGCAATTCATGATCAATTCCAAGCTCCACAAGCATTTATGGATTGCGGGTTGCAGGCTTCTCCTATTACCAAGTTGTGCTTCCACACCACACCCACTCCATTATTACACATAGTAGACTTGGCTTTTTTTTTACAGCCGCCACGCTCGCCGTCCTATCCCCTCTTACTATGTATGCTGAGCTCCACTTGGACGCTTTTTGGATACTACCTGAGGTGTTGCTGAACGTGCAGGCTTCGGACCAGCACTATTCCGCTTGGGTCTTGGTTGAGAGTCGCCCACTGGTGGTTTGCGCTTGGCCTCCTGATTGCTATGTGGTGCTACCGGGGTACCCTTGGAGGGGAAAGCAGAGACATCCGGGGTCCAGGTAAATATTGTTCTGCCTCAGACGGCAATTCAGAGACATTCAGTCGACGTCGTGACCTAGGTTCGCTCTTCCACCTTCAGATCGCAGTCTCTGTTGGGGGGCAAATCGACCATCTCCCTCACTCGCTGCATAACGACGTCGTGAACTTGAGGCAGTAGAACAGTGTCTGAGATCGCCATTCAACAATTCCGCGGAATCAATAGCCGCAGACGGTTCTCGCAAAGACGCATTTGTTTTACCGGACACTGGCTTGGGATGAAGGCGACAGAGGCTAGGCGATAGAGACTTTGGGGGTGATTCTTGGAGAGCGATTAGACCTTTCTTTCTTTGCCCAGTAATGCCTCGTCCTGCACCGGGAACGGTCATAGAGTGAATATCTCATCCAGATTCCTTTGTAAGTGATGCCCAAGGTACTTTGAGGTTCACTTTGGGTTTTAGTTGGGTTTATCTCGGAATGAAATGAGCCAATCATATTTGCTTGCTTAAGAGTCAACCTCTCTTTTGTCTAGGGGCCAGTGGCTCGTGCATCCTGACGCCTCATAATATAATGTAATCAATCAAATGAATTCATCTTAGGGGTAGGGCAACGGACATCGGACTGGTGACGAGAACAGGTTATGTGTTTTAATGAGCCATTGCATATGTTCATTATTACATTCGAAGAAACCCCGTCTTCATGATCAGCAAGTGTCAATGCAGAGACTTGGACTGCCATGCCATATAAGATAGAGTCATTTCGAATAGTTCATGTTGTTTTGTGTGTGTGTGTGTTGTTGGTCTAATACATGGAGGTGCGGTGTAAGCCAGCTTTAGTAGTGCCGTCTTATATGTCATGTATGAGCTATCTCGGGGCCAGATCAATATGTATGGTATATGGTATATTTCTCATGCTGTGTCAGTGTAATTAAAATGACTGTAACAATGAACATTGGAAATAAGGCGATGCCACATCATCACTGGTTTGGAGGAGTAAAGAGACATGGATGGATTTCTAAATAAGAATTTGTATACTTGATTTACCTCCTCACTTTGCGAGTCCTTCCCTCACTACCTATTCAATCTAAACCAGTCAAACAAGTGAATGCAAACGTCGACCTCAGATTTTCGACATCCGGCGACCAAACTGCTGCATAAACCCAAGCTCAGGGTCCAGGTACGCCATTGGTGGACATGTAGCCTACCTCCATGCACACCAGAAGTCACCCACTCCATCCACCTCCAAGCATAACCCCAAACTAACTCCGACTTTCTTTTCTCTTTTTGGGGGGTCCAGTGAGTTGACGGACTTGGATCGATTGTAGCGGCCCCAGGCTCTCATCAGCTAATCAGTCGGTGTGGCTCAGTTGGTTAGAGCGTTGGTCTCATATCGTAAATGTGACTTGGCCTGTAGGTCAGGGACATCCAAAGGTCGAGAGTTCGAGCCTCTCCACCGACAGAATGACTTCATTTTTGCTCCTGGATTCGTCGTCAAGGGCATGTCAATTCTTTTTGCTCATCGCCGGTCCTCCTGTCTGTCCAGTTAGTGAATGGGGGAGGGGGGAGGAGGGGGGGTAGGAGTTGGGGTCAGATGGCCGTATGAGAAGACCGTCTCAAGAACATATGCCACCATCACCAAGGGTATCGGAGAAGAAAGAAATCATAAGAAACGATCTAGCAGTAGTTATCCACCATTCATGTCAAGGTATATATAAGATATGAAAAAAAAAAAACATCATCTCAATAGTACAAAAAACTCAGCATATCCGCTGCCATTTTCCAAGTGCTCTTGTTGTCATGTGGTTGTGCGCTCAAACATTCTTCTTTCGAGCCTCATCATACTCCTCCTCTTCACTATCCTCTCCGCTGTCTTCTCGTTCCTCCTCTTCCTCTCCTTCTGTCTTGCGCCTTCTGTTCTTCATCGCCTCTCTGATCTTGCGAGAGGCCTCATCAAAGCCGCCAGCCGAGTCAAGAGTGGTGAATGCACTGATAGGGAAGCCACTCGATCCAAAACCGCCCCCGCTGCTGCTTGACCGCGACCGGCTCTGTCGCGACGGCGGGCGCGTGGAGAAGATACCCACACGGCCAATGTTGCTGAAGGAGTCGTTTCGTGGGAGAGCTCGGCTGGACTGCATGGTGCTTCTGCGGGAGAGAGGGGGGGGTGTCTCTGTTTCGAGCCCGGTGCTTGACTCGCTGTCCCGACGACGATGCCTGCCAGGGGAACCGACCTGGCCTTCCGTCTTGAAGAAATCGGGCACAAGGCGAGCTTTGTCAAAGTCTTCAAACATCTCCGGTCCCAGGGTGTTGATGACTTCCGTCACCTGGGCACTCAACTCTGCTCGCCTGATTCGCAGCTTCTGAATGTTATATCCAGATGAGGGCTGCAGGCAAAGAACCAGTGGGCGCAGGGATTTGAAGATATCCATGCCCACCTCACCGAATCGCAACGCCGCGAAAGTGATGCCGACCATGAGTGGCCAGACGGTGATGTACACGAGCAAGAGGGGAACCCATTCAGGAACATAACCAAATAATCTGTCATGCCACACCTTGAGAACAATGAGGATCGAGTAAAAATGGTACAACAGGGGGGCAAAGCCCATAGCAATCAGAATCTTCCAGGTAGCCATGACATCACGGCCCCTGATCTTGACTGTAGAGCCCGCAAGCGCAGTCTTGGCCTTTTGTCGGCTGATAATCTTGGTGGCTACGAATACGGGCGAGAACAGGAGGAGTCCAGGGACAGTGCCAATGAAAAGAACGAAGAGCTTGATGGATCGGTAGATGAAGAGGAAGATGACTTTGAGCAAGGACATGCGAGCGTACTGAACTTGGTGGTCCTTGAGGTTCAGATAGCGAAGTCGAGCATTGTATTCCTTGACAGCTCCGGACAGCCCGGACACACGCTCATCGTCCTTGTATCGCTCATAGCCCATAGCCAGTCTTCTGTTGAGTTCTACCACCACGGGGAGAGGTAGCTTCTTGCCTGTGGGGTTGTACAGGCGGCGCGCTGCCTGGACGACCATTAGGGTGTCGTAACTGGGCGCTGAAACAGTGACAGAATTGAGTGCCTGGTACACAGTGTCAAGGACCTGTCCAATGGCTTCACGACGCTGATTGTTCCGGTAGAGCTCGACCAGGTGGCGAGGGATCTCAAAGGGAGACCCGAATTCGACCACAGCGCGCGATCGGAACTTGTGGGCATGGAAGTAGTTCATACCCACTGGCACAATCTTGAGGCCGCAGTCTGGATCCTCGGCCAAAGTTCCCAACGCCATGATGGCGACACCAGCCTTGAGAGGCAGAAGCTCGGTACGGTCATGACTTCCGCCCTCCGGGAAGATGCCTATGCAGCCATTATTGAGGAGTCGGTTGAAGACAGCCTCGTACACCTTGGTCTGGTCGATGTGAGGAGCTAGCTTATACTTGGTTCCCTGGTAACCCGGCGCCGGGCCCTTGAGCTCCTTGTTTGTAAAGTTGCCTTTGTCATCGATGTCGTCGCGACCGGTCATCTGCTGCAGGGCTAGCTTTCCCTTGAAGGGTCGCTTGACACGGATCTCCTCTGGTGAGATAATCTCGGCGATATCGACGCTAGCACCGGTGGTGTTCTTGCCCGGAGGGAGGAAGAGCATGCCCTGCACCTCACCCTCGCCTTCGCCGAACCTGGTGCCAACTCCGCGGACGAGAGTCGGGTCGTTGATGGGATCGGGGAGGTATACGGTGCCCTTGGCAGGCTTCGCGGAATCCTGGGCACGGCCGACAGGTACGGAACCGACCTGACGGGAGCCCCAGCCGATGAAGCCGTGGACAGACTTTTGAGCGATAAGAAGAGACACACGGCGGTTGGCTTCATTGCGGAGGGTTCGTTGGAGAATCAAGGCATCGACGAACTAGAAGTTTCAAGGTCAGCGTACATGTCCCATCACTAATTAAGAGAGACGCCCAGCCCTGACATGTGAAGAGTCGAGGGGGGTTTATCTAGGGAGGGGGGGACAAACTGACCTGATTGGCATGAGGGGCGGCAACGAAGAGCACAGGACCAGACTGCGGAACGCGCCAGGCGCCTCTGGGTACGACCTCTCGAAAGAACATATCTACGATGTTCCCTACAGAGTGGAGGAAGAGATCGTACTTCCAGTTGACCATGGGATACAGCTCCTTCTGTCGGGGTGAGGGCCCGGTGACAGCCTGGGAGCTGGCAGCCGACGCCGCCACAGCGTCCTTCTTGATGGCTTGGGAGGCCATGGCGGGGGAAAGCGAGAGGAAGGATATGCTATGCCCAGGGCACGAAGACGGCGACGAAAGAAACCAGTATCGTCAAGAATATATCGTTGCACAGGCGCGCGCAGCCAGGCGGCGATGGACAAATGGTGGAGTGAGATTGAAGTAAGTTGAGTAATACCAAACTCAGCGACAGCTGGAATCGAAGTTTTTGGGGGAGAGAGCTGGACTGGGATAATAAAAGGTGGGGGAGACCTAGACAGGTTATGGTACCGACCCAGGGCTGGGAGCTAAGAAAGCAACAGAACCCATGCCCATGACAGGTCTATCAGGGCCATAACTCAATCGAGAAGAGAGGAGGCAAGGATTCCAGTTTTAATTTATTATTTTACGTTTTGAGCCTGAAGCAGCTGAAGCAGGGTTCGCGTCGATCAAAATGGCACCTGGGCCGGAAGACAAGGCCTGTTCTGTCTCATTCAAGCAAAATCGCGAAGAGATAAAGAAAAAAGAAGATGACTGTTTCGCCATTATCGTCACCGATGGCACGTTTCCTCGACGACCGAGGACTCCAAGTCTCAGGGTTTATCCAACCAGCCAGGTACCTTATCTCCTATCTGTAGCCATTCCAACATCCAAGACAGAGCTGTCTCGATCGTGGGTTGAGCAATCAGAATACGTACCAAGTCCATTGTTGTACTTGGGTAAGGGAGATACAGTACGAATCCATTTTGACTAGGTAAAAAGGAAAAAAAATCTACACAAAAATTCAGACTCACTAACGATCGGATGAAGCCTGGCATTCTGTCCTTCTTTCTTCCGCTCGGCTGTCACCTGTAAGTCAATGACATTGTACTCGGATGGTATTAAAAAAATCACACATGATGAAATGGCTGGTGTGGTGGACCTCCGACTTCATTACGTACAGAACCAACAGCCAAGAAACGACTAATCCTGGCCCTGTCCATACAATAAGTCTGCTTTGGAAAACAATGGAAGAGAACTGTCTTGTTTTCTCCAAGTCGGGACTGGGGTAACTAGATACACACTCAAACAGGCAAGCAGGGAATGTTACCTAGAGGCGCCTTGAAAACTCGAGACATGTATTCATTGGGGCCTATCAATGTTTCTCCCTTTGTTTGAATGGCTCAGAAAAATGGTTTACAAAAGACATTTCCCCCCTCGCCCCTCTCCCCAACCTGTTCCTTGTCAAATACTCCTCAACCTTCAAGCCCACGTTGAAGCTCGCAGGCCAATCACATCCCCGTGTTCCTATCCTCCCTACCGTCATACTGCAGGTCGCTTGGTGTAGGGGCCATTTTCAGCTCCTCGTCGCCATTCGTCACATGCGCTGTGCACTTCCTGCAGGTCTCTCTAATCCTCAATCTTGGGGAAAAAAGCCAAGGCAGATGCAAGCAAGCGACGAAAACCGGGGGTCAGTAAGGCCTCGACCTATTGGCATCTAACGTATTCCTGCTTGGCGGGGGATTGGGGTGAAAGAGGGGGGGCGTGGTCGTTGCTCTCTCAAGTCTCCCCCGCCTTTTTTCTGTGGCGTCTCCGAGCCTTCAAAGCCTCCGAGCGGCAGCATCGAGTGGCCGAGGCAGCCTGTGTGTTGCATCGTTGCATTCCCCAACAAACACAGCTCCGCAACCTAAAACGAAAAAGGATAAAAAATGTCCGAGAAATATGTTGAGCTGATCATAATGTGAATGCCTCGGAGGCACGCCGTGGACCATCGGAAGAAACCTTCCACCGGCTACGCGCGCTGACCCATTTGTCTCGCTCGTTGTTAGTTATCTTTAAGCCGACAGCTACAGCTACATCCGAGGACGAGTGGAACACAACCTCACCACATGTCTTGGTGCTATTTTGCTCTTAACTTTGCGCCTCAGATGGTTGTGTTCTACCCATCTCCCCTACTGAGTACCTCGTATGTATTAGACGTAAGGAGAACCAAGATAAGCTGCCTGCTCTGCCCCTCTGCCCCCTTTCGCCTCTCTCTGCTCCCCTTTTCTTCAGTTAAAATGTAGTCACACAACTCAGCGTAGGGTAAGAACGGTAAGATAAGGTGGGTAGCTAGGGTAGTGCTGTCTACTTGACGTCATTCCCATAATGGAGAATGCAATATGGTGTAATGCTAGCATCAATGTTCATCAATTGCTGACCATAAGGCTAATAGAGATAAAATAATAATAAAAGACGCTGTACACACCCCGTTATAGTTGCTGTATGCTAATAGAG